TAAATTGGTTAGTCTCTAAGGTGCCACAAGTACTCCTTTTCTTTTTGCGAATACAGACTAACACGGCTGTTCCTCTGAAACCTGTTTTTTTGGTTATCTTTTGGGTGAAGACTTTGTGTTGCTAAGAAACAAGGGGACTATCCAATAATGGGCCTTGTATTGAATTGATGGATTTTTTTCTAGAGGTTGTATGATCAAATGAAAGTTCATGTACTACAGCTGTATTAGTGGCAGTAAGGGACAATGGGGCTAAAGCTTGCTTGCAGTCATGAAGAAATAAGGGATGTAGAAAGGCCTCTACTGTAAGTGAAGAAGCGGTTTCCTTGCTTTGTTACTTTATGTATGTTTATACAGAAGGTAAAGAAGACATTATCTGAAACAATGAGCAGATAAAAAAATAAACTAGAAGGTAGTTTAGAAATTAGAGAGAAATCACAGTGGAATCTAGGGAGACTGTAGAATCTCAGTTTGCAAAGACAAAGATTCTCATTTTCCCCTCATTGTAAAATGGTTATTAGAAATAACATCCAGGTGAAGAGGAAATAGTAAAATGTGGAAATTACTTTGAGATTTTGGAAAAAGTTCTAAGAACCTGTACTTTTAGAAATTTCCTAAGGGTCTGAGTGAAGCTTCTCAGAAGAACCTTTAAAGACATTTACCTGATGTCTTAAGAATTGTTCAAAGACATTTTCCTCTCTAAGCAAAGGTTTATTTTTTTTAATCCTATACATTGAGAGTGAAATCATGTGTGGATCTGGATGAGGATTGCGTTGCAAAGATTCTGGAGACTATCCCAGCTGCTTTCTATATTATTAAGACATCTAGTTCAGAACAGACCTCAACGAGTATTCTCCTTCTAACCTTTGCCCTATCTAATTATAGAGATTGGGTTTTGAAACTGAGATTGTCAATGTAGACATATATTATTTTATGGTAATAAAATTTTTATAATCCCAGATGTTTTAGATCTTGTGAAGCTACATGTTTGCAATTCCTCATCTATAAGCAGAAGATTTTAGACTTAAAAGCTGTTTTTGCCTTTGGTTTCTCTGTAAGTGCTGGGTGGAATAGTGTATAATACATGATGGTGTGGTATAAAGATTTCATTGGCATGTGTTTGAGGGTTGCAACACCCCGAGACCACCCTGCCTCCTTAGGAATTTAAGCCTTTCAGTAATGCAAAACCAGATTGCATATTGTGATTCTCAGAACAGAGTAATTTTTGGACAAAGAAGAAAACATTCTTGTGGCAGGTAGATTTTTAAAAAGCTCCTTCTTAAAACTCTTCAGAGATTTGGCATGTTAAAAGTAGTTCTAGGGAGGCGGATTCATTTATTTATTCATTGAATTCTTTTCTATTCTAGATATTTATTTAGATTTTTAAAACATAAAAAAGTATGCGTCCCTTGCTTTGGACATAACTCACAATTATATCGGAAGAGGCTGCCTCACCTCATTGACAAATAAAACATCAAACAATAAGACCCTTTCACTGTAAGCAATGGTAATCAAGCTGCTCTAAGATTCAGCTCATCCCATTCCGCAAATCCTGGGAAGTAGATGAACCTGGTTGTCTGACTGAAAATTTTACAAATGTGAGTTATTTTGAGACAAGTTTTAGAGCAAATTCCAAAGTGGAACATCCCTCATGTAGAAAACCAAGCCAACAGGTCCTTTTCATTTCTATTGAAGGGCTCAAACTCAAGTGAATCAGATGATGTCATTTGAGGCAGGATAGCCCAGGGTGTAATTCAGATAACCACCGCCCAGACTATTTAGGGTCTATAAGTTAAAACCAGCACCTTGTTTTCTCAAACAGCAATGTGCTGATGTTTGTGCTTATCCCAGAGTACTGGTCTGAAACTCCACTTAGTAAGTGGGATACTTCATTTTGCACTAGCTTTAGTTTTCAAGTGGTCTCAAAATGTAACTCATTACAATAGTGGTAATATTGAAGTATCATTTTGAAGATAAAGCAGTAGATAACTGTGGCAAGATCTGTATCAGAGAGGAAAAAAATCCCACCCTGTTCATTTAGTGCAAATAAAAGAAAGTGATCTTGCCCACAGCTATTACCTGGGCATCCATGGGCAACTTGGGATCTAATAAGGTACTCACATTGTGCACCGGTTACAAATGGCTGACACACTTTCTCAATTATGGGTGTTGATAGATTTGTCATCTCTTCCAGCTGCTTCCTCCAACCCACCAACATTAGTTGCATCTAATCTAGGTTAAGTCATAGCCCTCATCCAAGCTCATATAGACTCTGAGTTATTCGTTACACAACATTAGCCTGGTACGATATGATAGTGTCATAGTGCTGGGTGTCATAGAAAATACATCTCTGCTCCTCTTTCCTCACTTTCACCAGTCTCAAAAAGAATTGAACAGGAATGGTGAAAAAACAGATCCCTTTAGTGCCCCTGTGAGAGGGTTCTTGAGGAAAGGAACAATTGCCTACAGTTGTCGTCTCAGAAAAATTAAAAACAGAGCCACTCTGGATTAATGGGTGAGGTGGTCAGATGTGCATAACAGGGCTGCATTTATCACACAGTGCTGGCTGTGGTTCTGGATTTGCTTTGTATCTTTGGAATGAGAGATTCTGTGTATTAAATCCTTTCTGAAGGATTTGAAGGAAATATACTAGGCTTTTCTTGGTGTGCCCTAGCCACGTTAGGGTTTGAGATGGAGTGAACAGGAAGTGGTAGTGAATGGGAAGAGTCTGATAGGATGTGGGATAGATAAACTAGTCACCTGTGTAGAGGATTATGCACAAGCATTCCCCTCTTAAAGAGGCAGCAGACAGAGCTTTCATTAAAGTCCTGGGAAGTGTAGCAACTCCAAAACTGAGTAAAATTGAAATTGGAGTGAATACAGAGCAAAATGCAGTTATAAGTGATGATGGGGCAACAAGTGCAATGTGACTTAAAATTAATGTCCAGTTCTTGAGAGGCCTGCTGAGGCCTCAGAGCACGTATGTAGCTTTTACCCCCACTGTTCATCTTCAGTGACTGAGTGAGCATGTAGATTTTTTTTACCTGGACATATTGCTACTCTGGCGTTGTGCCATCTTTCTGTGGTTGGCTGGCAGTTGTGATGTGGTGACTGTACTGCATGCAAACAGTGCCATGAGATTGAGGTAAAGGAACTAGATGTGACCCTGTTCATACGATATGATTAATGTCTACGATGCTGTTCCTTTCCTGTAACCAATTTTAGAGCATATCAGGGCAGTTCTCACCATTTGGGATTAATATCACTCTACTTTTTGTGAGTTGAGCTTCTTCCCTTAGTGTAGCTAACTGGGTGTCTGCCTCATTACTTGACTTTAGTTAATATAGTGTTTGGACTTGGATGTCTTTGGCGTACTCCATGTTATTTGGAAACGTACACTTTAAAATAAAACAAAAGCAACCAACACTTTTTGTTTAAAATAATTTATATTTATTGTTTCCTAAAATTCACTATTTCTTCAGTTCTATGTTCACCTGTAAACCCAAAGGGAACACCCCCATCTGTACTGCCAGTGTTGCACATTAAAAATAGTTTTCCTTCACCAAATGCTCACAGCTGGTTGGATTTGTTTTCAGTCTGAAGATACATTGTACAGTATTTGTCCTTTTCACATAGTGCTGAACTTTAATAGGTTGAGCTATCCTAGCTTTCCTTTGTAAATTAATTCTGTTTCAATACTAATTATACTTTGCACTTATATAGGGCCTTTTATGAAAACATCACAAAGCACTTTACAAAATTAAGTCTAACGACATCCCTGTTAAGTAGGTATCGTCTCTTTGCAGATGAGTAAACATAAGAAGAAAGAGGTTAAGGGCTTGATTTTGAAGAAGTGCTGTGCATTGATTTAAATGGCAGCTGCAGATGGTCTGAAAACCAGCCCTTAGTAGGCAATATGTAATGTCAGTAGCTGAGATTAAAATACGTCTTGGAAGTTGTGGCTCAAACCCTACTTTTAGTCTTAGCCACCAGATAATGCTCATTTCCTTTAAATTCAATCTATGTATAGCATGGAAAATCTGTTGCTGTTGCATAAAATTACATTGAAATGATAGGAAATTATCTTGAAGAACGCAGTCGTAAGTTGCATAGATAGAGCCCTTAGGATTTTACACCTTTGTAATCTATATATAAAACAAATATTATTTTTCTCACATTTCTGCAAGGTAATGCCATGCATACATTTGTAGAAAATGGACAGTAGTGTCTGTAATGACAAAATACATCTAATATTAGTAAAATTCCATTGAGTAGTTTCAGGTTTTCCTCTCAGGTTCTGCTTCTAGCTTTTTCCACTGAGTACTGAAGAGGATAAAAATATCATGGCAGTTTACAGGAAAAGGAGCTGATATTTAAAGCAAGCATACACTGAATTTTCTTTTCAAGGTCTGTGTAGTCCAGTATTTTACATTGGTGTTAAAAATGACATTACCCAACCAATCACATACCAGAGCATCTATATTATTAGTACAATGCTGAACTAGCCCATACTATGCATACAACCCCACCTAATAAAATAAAAACATGGCAGTTTTTTCCATATAGAAATAACTGACATATTAAATTACAGTTTAAAAGAAATAAAATAAATGTAATACTTTTGACTGAGTTCTACAAGGATGTTGGTCAAACAGTGATTAACATCATGTGTGGTATAATCCTCAATGTTTACAGTTGGTTAGGGACTATAGTATTACATTAGGTGATGGGAATCAACCTGGGGAGTGCCTTATTGTAGAATATGCATTAAACAGAATTCTCTCTGCACCGACTGAATTTATTGATTAATTCCACTGCCACATGGATTTTAAATTACCTTGACAAACGATAACTTATTTAATACTGTCTGTGACTTGTGTTTATGGAAGACAAAGTTCGTCGGGTCCTTCTAAAGAAAAACAACAATGTGCCAAATGTAATTTTAGTGTGGAGTGTTAAGAATGGTATAATTATATCTTACAAAAGTGTGTGATTTTTTGCAGATAATAGCTCTAGCAGATGCGGCAGAGGAAAACCAAACCAATATGTTCCAGGCATTCACAAAGTTGAAAAGTGCCACCCAGCTGGTGATTATGTTGATTAGTCTGTGGCAGAAGCTCAGCACTGACCAAGTTGCTATTCTGGAAGCTACGTTTTTGCCATTAATGCAGGATACCCAAGAGCTGGTAAGGATCTGTGAGATTTACTGAAAATCTGGATATGTGGAAAAGTACGAACTGATCAATTAACTTGGTTTTCCCAATGTGTTCTGTAAATGGCCGTTCCTTATAATGGAATGTAATATTTCCCTTCCCACTATACTGTATTGAAAAACTTTATTTAAAAGGGTTGTTTTAAGATTTGCTTGAGTCTACTTTAAATCCATTCTTCCTCATCAACTGCGGTGAAGCCTTCGATTTGAACATCTCAAGGTTTGCATTCTACCAATTAACTTTCAAGTTAACCAGTCCTTGCTTGTCAAACCAAATGGAAATATCCATATATCTAATATAGCTGTATATACATCTATTTAAATGCTGGTGGCAATTGTGATAATAGTTTTGTAGTTTGTTGTTGTTTGAATGAGTTGTAATAGGTCTTATCTGCATTGTGGATTTGCTGCAGTTATAGTCTGTGTCTAGCAGTGGAGCAAACCCCTACTGTAAATAGGCAAAGTTGCTGTATATTATGATTTACCCTGGTTTTAAGCTTGGGGTAAGCACCACTTCTGCAGATAGCAGCTTTTTTAGACTGCACCAGCTACATCATTGGCTGTTACTAAGGCAAATCCCCAGCCTACACAAGGCCTTAGATTAAAATAGCACATCCTTAAAAACAGATTCCAGATACGGGAAAATGGCATCTTGTTTTAAAAGACCTACTAAAAAGCCTGTTTGAAAATATTGACTATATAGACCATATTGCTGGCATAGCGTAGTCTATATTTCTGTTAATTTTTCCTTTGAGCCTTTGCCTGTAAACAATCTTTGTAGTAACTTCCACAGCAGTCAATTATGACATCACAGACCGGATTTAGGATTACAATTTCATGTGGAGAATAAACAGGAGAAGGTGAACTCTTGAAAAGAATGTCATAAAGAAAGGGTTATTAGTGACAAATGGAGAAGACCACCAAGTGAATTTTTAAGGAACAAAGGTTCTGTTAACGGTAATATTCAATATCTTATTAATAAAGCACAGGAAAAAGATTTCCTCTTACATGCTACTGATTATGATAAGTGCTTTACATTTTCAAAGCCTTTCACCAGTATCTAATTATTCCTCATAGCACCCTACAGGATAGGTAAATAACATCATTTTATAGATGAAGATACTAAAAAACATAGATGTTAAGTAGCTTGTTCAAGGCCACATAGAGCCTTAAACAATTGTGTCCTGAGGCCCATTTGTGATTCACTACTCTGTGTCAGCAACTTTTGTCAGGCTTGACATACTCACTGCACCATTCACACTGATGCCATGATATTTATGTAAAAGGTGATGTAATATATTGTTTGATATCTAATAATACACTTGTCATTAATGTCACTGTGAAATGTTTGTTCCAGTTCTACAGGTAAATTATGGATATTCTCTGATATTATGTCCTGTAAACAGACAAAACCCTCCTGCAATTTTGTAACAGGGTTAGGTGTGACTGGGTAGATTGCTGTGTTAGAGCTGCTTAACCCAGTGACACTCAGTACAGACTAGTATGCTGGCTGGCAGCGTCCTCCTATGAGAACTACAGCAGCAGACCTTTTTAAGGCACTAAGGGTTACAGAGCAGGCAGTGACATAACCCCTCACTGTCATGTTCTGGATTGTACCCCAGAATGTGACAATATTATCCTGTGCTTTATTAATAAGAAATATATATGGCACAATTTGTTTATATAATAGATATGAGTTACAGGACACAATCTTATTGAACAGTAAAATTCTCACGTCCAGTCCATACTGTGAATATATCATGTGTGTGCAGATCTCTATTGTATTCTGTACTTGTTTAATGTGTATAACTGTCTGAGTGTTCTATGGTTGTGTGTAAACGTACAGACCATGCACTAGAAAAGCACATTGCCATTAAGAAATCCATCCTACAGTTTGAAGAGAAGTTTGACACACATCTCTTTTTGAAATGGAGACAATATTGTACAACTCCTGTCAGAATTGAATGGGGAAATATATTTAATGAAAACAGAATGGAAAACTAAAAAAAAAAAAATCTAAAAATCCATTTGAATATTAAATTGCATACTCTTAATTCACAATTACATTATAATAAGCTGTGCTGATCTATTACAATGTAAACTGAATCCAGGTTTCATTATATAGCCAAATTTTGGGCTGGTCAGTAGCCATTTTAGCAAGCTTGGGCTAAGTTCCAAACGCACCTAGGAATACTCGTTGTTTCAACTAGAAAACAAGTGAAACTTGGTGTTTCACATAGTTTTTACCCCAAACCTGGATAAACAGTGGGCATTTGGGCTTTGGTGTTTGGACTTACTGAAACCTGAAACTCAAAGTGAAAAAGTCAGGGGTGTAAATTCACATGAGCTGAATCAGCAGAAGGTTCATTTGAGTCCCCTGAAAGTGGAAACTATCTGGTTTTGCATGCCTCACTTTTATTGTTCCATTAGGGCTTATATACTGTATTGCTTTGACACACTTTCTGGTACAACATGGGAAAATCTGTTATGTATCTTAAAATAAGAGATACCACTTTAATATATATCTCGATGTGGTTTTGATATAGTAGTTCACAATTTTCCACGTTAAGATGCAAGACCTCACATATAAATGTTGTGGGGATGTAAATCCTGCAGAGAGGCTGGGATGACAAATGTAAACCTGAAATAATGGGTTGGAAATTTAAAAGAAGCCTTTACTGAACTATTGAAATAATCCCATATTGTAGTTATTATGGTACTACAAAAATCTGAATGTAATTTAAAGAGAAGTTTAGATGGGGGGAGGGAAGCTTCTGACATACCAATGGTATTTACAGACAGAAGCTCCCAGCTAGTGTTCAGGTTTCCCCACAAGCAGTTGAGTGGAATGTGGTGAAAGAAAGTACTCTGAAGAATTTTTATTTATTCTTCAAACAATTCTGCACAATGGTTTGTTGTATTTTTATTTGGGTGGAATGTGTTAGAAGATAGTTTGGATACAATATACCTCTCTAGAATATTTTCTGCTTCATGAACATGAAACTCAGAAAGTGCTTTTTTAATAAAGGGAAAATGTTTAGAACATACCGTTACTGTAAAAAAAAAAAAAAAAAAAAAAGTTCTTCTAACCATAACGTCAACATTATTCTCATACATGCCATTCCATTTAGAAGAGATTGCTGCTTGTTTTCTGGACCTGCCAGGCACTTCATTTGGACACTTAGCATAAGAGTATTTCAATGTTTCGAGTTCCCATTGACAAAAATAGCTTCTCAGACTAGTAAACAGTTCCTGTTGCAGACTATATCATGGTTCACGTACTCTTAATTGAAGTAAAGTCTGGTTTTGCCACCTACAAAGATATGTCAAAATAAAAAGAATAGTGCATTCTTTGAAAATAAAGTTCCTGAAAACTAAGGTTGTGCTTTTTTCTTGTGCTTTGGTAACCAAAGGGTCTTTAGGTCTCTGAAAATACCTATCTTTTCCCCTTCTCAATCCCTAAGGAGCTTTGGGCAGGTCTATATTACTGCATAAGTCAATCTAACTTACGTCACTCCGGGGTGTGAAAAAGCCCCCCCTGAGCAACGCAGGTTTCATGCTGTCCACACGGCACTGTGTCAGCAGAAGACATTTACCTGCCGACATAGCATATGCTCCTCTCCAAAGTGGAGTAATTATGTAGATCTGAGAACTGTCCCGTCAGCATAGTGCATCTTCACCAGATGCACTGTGCCGATGTAGCACTGTAGTGTAGACTTTCCCTGTATCATGGCTATCATTATACTTTTAGCTAACTTTATATACTAATACTAAAACTCCATCCATCCAGCCAAGGAGTGCTAAGTGAGATTCTCTTGGACATCTTCTTGAGTGGAAGTAGTATCTAGTTTGGTACTAGTAAAGCAAAACTTTTCTCTGTGATTCCTTCTTTTATTCCATACAACTCCCGACATCTGCTTAGTCCAAGGAACATAACATCAGGATCTGAACCAAATTAAATGAGTTGGCACTAGAATGAGGCTATAAGGCTGTCCTTGCAAGATGCATGTTAAAAATTCAGTGTTATTTGACGTGATAAATTTGCTCGTTTTGTCTGACAAAACAAACAGTGTTGATCTTTCTCCCATTGAAGCTGAAGGCAAAACTCAATAGAGGGAAATCATGGTTGAAATCCATTGAAATCAATACAATTTTGCCCTTGGCTTCAATCGGAGTAGGATTGAGCCCATATTTAAGATATTGTGGAAGAACGTATATGCAATTAAGAGTGCTTCAGTTAAAGTGGAGCTCTATGGTACACCCTATTATACTTTAATATATATAATCTATGCTATTTTTACTCACTATTTTACAAGTTAAAATGTATTTTTTAAAAACTGTGTTTTGGGGTGGTTTTGGAGGAAAAAAATCTATGACCATAGTATGTTTATTGATGTCTTGAGGTAATAAACATTTGTGGTTTTTTTTAATAGAACTGATGAATATTTTGCAGAGCTATCTCTTTTATTATTAGCTTACTAAAGAGGAGAACAAGAATATGGATTTGGGGGGGGAGATAAAAAAAGAAAGCATGGAGTTATTTTTCCACTGATTGATTTTTTTATTGTCTTGATTAAATTGATCTGGAGAGAGAGAGATTCTAAACATGTTGAGTTTGTGATAGAGAATATGTTTACAATAGGAAATCCTTCTGGGAGGGCAGGATATTTATCCAGGCTAATTTAAAAGGTTCAAAGGGTTCATACAGTGCAGGATAGTTGTGATATTATGGTTGTATGGCGTCTGGATTGAGTGATGACTCAGATGTCTTATCACTACAGTTATTAAAAACCTCTTTGTTTATAAAATTACGAAGGAAAAAATTCTGTCACTATTAACTGCATAATTTTATGACTGATAGAGGACCCTCATAAATGTAGTGGTTTATTTGAACCTAATCAAAGAATAAATATTTTTATGGTTCCCATGATGTTACCAAATAATGTCGTCATAGGAATTTCACTGCACAAAATC